CTACTCCTACTCCTACTCCTACTCCTACTCCTACTCCTACTCCTACTCCTACTCCTACTCCTCCTGCTGCTGCTGCTACTGCTACTGCTACTGCTACTACTACTACTACTACGACTACTACCACCACCACCACCACCACCACCACTACTACTACTACTACTCCTACTGCTGCTGCTGCTGCTACTACTACTACCACTGCTACTGCTACTGCTTCTACTACTACTGCTGCTGCTGCTGCTACTGCTACTGCTGCTGCTACTGCTACTGCTACCGCTACTACTACTCCTACCACTACTACTACTACTACCACTACTACTACTGCTGCTGCTGCTGCTACTGCTGCTGCTGCTGCTACTGCTACTGCTACTGCTACTACTACTACGACCACTACTACTACTACTACTACTTCTACTACTACTACTTCTTCTGCTACTACTACTACTACCAATACCAATACTACTACTACTACTACTACTACTACTACTACTACTACTACTACTCACCAACACCGGCTATCTACAACAACTGCCAACTGCTACCGTTGTTACTATACGACTATATACTATACTACTAGCACAGAAACCACGCGGAACCCGCGCGCCACACTCGCGCGGGTTCCGCGCGCGGAAGTTGCGGGATGATGACTGAATGACTGCGAGTACAACTGCCTAAGAGCGCTACACGATGACTAGCGGAACTAATTTCGATTCTAAAATAATTCGAGACGGCGTATGGTATGGAGTATGTAGCAACACTATGAGTGGCGTTGCGCGCAGCTTGAAAATGCAGGGCGCACAGTCAGAAATTTGTTGCAACTGTCACCGGTTGTGTTGTATGTGTGCCTCACAGCCGCGTCAGAAGCATCCGTTTTCTGGTGGCTTTGAACTGGCCCAAACACTATGGAAAGACTGGGCTCCTTCCAATTGCCAATGGTGTGACGCCTGCTTTCGCGCCTGAGCTGCGTGTGTGAGGCTCATGCATGCTTAGGGTCCTGCATGCTGTTGTTTAGTAGCAAAAAGTTTCTATGTTTTTTGCTCTTCCTGTGCAAGTATTTAGCCAGGGGGTTGCCGTGATAAAGGCTGCAAAGGCTATCGAGGCTGCCCTCAGAATTTTGCGGAGCAGTAAAGTTTGAATCTTGAAAGTATTTGACCAGGGGTTTGACATGATAAAGGCTGCAAAGGCCATCTTTGCCGCCTTCAGAATTTTTGTGGAGCAGCAAAAGCAGAACTTTGCTAACTTTGTTGTTCCCAGAAGTTTTGGCGCAGTCAATCTTGCTACCTTTGCTGTTCCCAGAAGCTTTTTCACACAGTGAAGTGAAGACTGAATCTTGCAACCTTTGCCGCTCCACGAAATTTTTTGGCACAGTCAATCTTGCTAGCTTTGCTGTTCCCAGAAGCTTTTTTCGCACAGTAAAGACTGAAGCTTGCAATCTTTGCTGCTCCCAGAAAAAGCTTTGGCGCAGTCAATCTTGCTACCTTTGCTGTTCCCAGAAACTTTTTCACACAGTAAAGGCTGAATCTTGCAACCTTTGCCGCTCCCAGAAAATTTTTTAGCACAGCAAATCTTGCTAGCTTTGCTGTTCCCAGAAGCTTTTTGACACAGTGAAGTGAAGACTGAATCTTGCAATCTTTGCTGCTCCCAGAAGGTTTTTTCGCACAGTCAATCTTGCTACCTTTGCTGTTCCCAGAAGCTTTTTCACACAGTAAAAACTGAATCTTGCAATCGTTGCTGCTCCCAGAAAAAGTTTTGGCGCAGTAAATCTTGCTACCTTTGCTGTTCCCAGAAATTTTGTCGCGCAGTGCAGCCTCCATCTTGGCAACTTCGCTGTTTGCGCACCGGGGCTGGAGATCGTGTTTTTTGCGCGCAGCCTTCGAGCACCTCTGCTGCCCCAGCCAACTCCAGTCTATCCAGTCCGCGCACTGGCCACTAAGAAATTGTCAAAACTGGCCGCGCCCTCCGTGCAAAAATGGTGCCTCAGTTCGTGCTTTTTGCGCGCGCCCTCCGTGCTCAGTGTTAGTGCAGGAGCTGGCAGACGCTCCCAGTAAACATTCCATCCTCTCAAAAAACACCTCCGATTGTTTCTTTTTCTTTTCCTTAGCCTCGGCCAGGCCAGCCACCATAAGCAGCAGGATGGCCAGGATAGCCACCAGAAGAAGCAAAACAGGCTTTGAGAGGCACCGCAGAAGACCAGGGGTAAAAGACCAGAGGTTGGCCACCAGAGGCTTCACAGCAACTCTTTCCACTTCAACCTTCTGGTGGCTGATTCTTTCAAAGCAGGCAACAGCAAGGCCACAGGTTGACCACTAGAAGCCTCACAGCAACCCTTTGACGCTTTTTCCATGGCAGTTTCTGTTGAAGGCCACAGGTTGACCGCCAGAAATCTCATGCCAACCCATTGCTTCTTTGCATCCTGGCACGAGGTTTCTGGAAAAGCCACAGATTGACAGCGAGACACATCGGGGTTTTGTTTGAACAGCCTTGAACAGTCCTCACATCACATCAGCCCTTGTTCCAGCAGTTTTCTCATTGACCTCGCAGGAAGTGCGCATTTTGATTTTCCATTTTGCAGCCACTTGCAAGTGACTGCTACGTCTGTCCGGAGAATATCATGATTTCTCCGCGTGCAGTTCTGAAGAACACCAAGATTTCTGCAATGCTGTTCTGCGAAGAAATTCCGGTCTTCTCCCGAGCTGCGCGCGGAGAAATCATTATATAAATAATCCAAGACTTTTCCGAGAATACATTCTAATCTTCTGCAGAGCTAGCGACGAAGAAATCTTACAGTTTTTACATAGAGAACTCAAAGTACAGTGTTGAAACTTACTTGCTTGAGTGACAAGTGGCTGCAAGTGGCTGCCAAGTGGCTGCCTGAGCAAGTGGCTGCAAGTGGCTGCAAATGACTGCAAAACCAAGAATCAAAATGTACGTCATTTGCTCGCTCTCTGATTTTTCTTGTCAAAGGCCAAAGGCAAGCCACGAGAAACCAGAAACCTCACAGCAACCGTTACCCACTAGCCTTCTTTCAAGCAGGCTAGACCTCTCAAGTTGGACACCAGAATCCGCACCAGCCCTTTGCTGCGCCCTTTCAACCAACCCACAGGTTAGACTGCGCAAGTTGGAACCCAGAAGCCTCACCAGTCCTTTGCTGCTTCAGCCTCGGCCATTTTCTTTCAGAAGCTGACAAGTAACACTGCATACCTTCAGCTTCAGTATCCCTTAAGCCTGGCCCCGCTGTGCCAGCTTTCTTTTTCCAGAGGACACCTGTTCCACGCTGCCAGTTTTCCTTTAGAAGCCAGCAGTGTCAAGTAAACCACTAGAAGCCATGCAACACCATTTCAATTTTAGCGTTCCTTATGCAAAGTTCTTTCAAAAGGCCGCAGGTTTGCCACCAGAACCCCTACCGCCTTTCCTTGCCCTGCTTTCTTGCCTTCCTTGCGCAAGGTTGGCCACCAGGGGCCAAAGCCTGGCAGCAACCCTTTCCTCTTTCCACTTGAAAAGGCCACAGCTTAGTGACCAAAGCTGAAGATTGAAAAGGCCACGGGTTAGGCGCTACAACCTGCACAGCGCACCGCAGCATGTGGAAAGTTCAATTGCCTGCGCAGCGCACCGCAGCACGCCGGTTTTTTGGTTATCTTAAGGCGTGCAAGGTGGCAAGTAGGACGGAGTAGGAATGCTAGTTGGGGCAAGTCCTTTTTGTGCTCAGATTTTGGCTGGCTCAGATTTGACGGACCAAAAAGGTCTAGAGATCTAGCCCAAGCGCCAGGGAAACGCAAGGTTGTAACATGTAAGACTGTAAAAGCAACCATGAACAACAATAGATCAAACCACCTTCTTTGAAGCCCTGGACTTGGAAAGCCCAAACACGCAGCACCAAATTTTTTGTACAAAAAGGTTTCGCGTGCTTTTGTTTTTGTAAAAGTTGCGCCAGAATTCTTGCAGCTTGGACAAGTGTAGGGTCATTCTTGGCAAATGTTCACTCCTGGCAGGCCGCGAGAAGTGGGACAACTTTGTTCAAGCAGGGCCAAGAAGCATCGCATCTCTTGGTTGGGTGGGAGTGTGTTTTTTGCGTTTTTCACCGTGCATTTTGGTGCTCTAGTTTGCGCTCGCTGTTACAGCTATTAGGCAAGACCCAATGTATACATAGAAAAAGATTATATATAATATACGTAATATATATATATATTTTTTTTTTTATATCTTATATTATCACGAAAGGTAGCCTGGTAAGGACTACCTTGAGTTTGCTTTGCGAAGCAAAGGGACTGGCTTTAGAGCTTGCTCGGGACTAAAGATTGGTAGATCAATGTCTAACACCCCCCCCCTCCCATGTGATGAATCATTGATAAATCAATTGATTCGAACCCCCCCTCCCCTCCACTCCCTTCCCCGTCCCCTCCCCTCGTCGCCAGCGCTACTAGCATTCTGGACATAAGGTGAAGTCACGCGCTTAACAGTCACAGCAGTACGACGCTGGCCATGAGGTTGCGCAATACAGCAGGAACCCTGCGCAATGAGGTCGCGCAATGCGGCTTCGAGGCCGCGCGTGCGCACCCGGCAGCCTGACACAGCGCGTACTGCGTTCACAGACCATATTGCTCGACACCAACGAGCATCGATGCAACACAGCCTCTCTGCAAAGCCCTGTGGAGAAACCCCTCGCGTCGCGGAACACCATTCGACTCAGCCTTATACCCTATAGCGTGGCGAAATCTTACCGCGTCGTGGAGCACACCCACCATAGCGTGACGTCCATCCCTGGCAGTACCGGCCGCGCCCCTCCAGCACTATCCTTACAAGGGGGTTGGTCACTGAGTCACTGCGGCTTCGACGCAACGCGTGCAGGCCTGTAATCCTGACTCAGTGCGTGCAGCTGTGGGACCATAGCTGGTACACATGCGAGCGTTTATGCATTCCCCGGTCCGTCTCTACCTTTCGCGTTTCCCCGTTCAAGTATTACATTATCCACCGAATCTTTAAGTACCTGCAAACTTGGTACCTGTGCGTGGGAGCAGTATAGGTTCAAGGAGTTGGAGACATGGATTTCTCCTATAAAGTTATGGGAGAATTATGCACGTGGGTGCATCTGCTCAAACTCAAAGCATCCTGGCAGCCACTCCCATACCACTCCCATACCACTGACTTACATTCCCCATACCACTCCTATAAGGATTTTCCCTATACCACTTCCATACATTCCCCATACCACTCCTATAAGGGTTTTCCCCATACCACTCCCACACCACTCCCATGGAATAGGAATAATGGTATATACCTGGTATATACCTGGTATATAAAGCCTCCCATAGTGGAGGTACCACTTTGATAGGTATTTAAGATTTTCCCTGATATTATATTGTATTATATTATATCATGTAATATTATATTGTATTATGTCTTATTTCAGTATACACATCCTCCCTCCCCCTCCAATAATCATGAACACTCATGCAAGTGGAACATGGCACTGGAAAGACAATTTTCCTCCACAAACAGGGGTTCTCCATTTCCATGTTTGTTGGAGGGAGGGTAGAGAAAGAGAAAGAGAGAGAGAGAGGGACTGTTGCAGCTACTATTGCGAGATGCTTTGTACTTTCTGCCGCATGCCTTGGGCATATTGAGGACAATTTGCAGACCGCCTTATTTTATGCTGCCCGCCAAGGGCACGTCAACACGTGCAATTTTCTTGTCTGCAGCAAGGCAGACGTAACTTGGCTGCCCTCAGGTGGTCCCTTAGGATCTTAGATTTTTTGTTTACATTTGTGTACTCTCAGGTCTAGAGGTTTACAAGCTGAGAGCAGCCAAGGTAAATAAACTTGACAAGTTCGGCGAGACAGCGTGGCTTGGTGCAAGGGTTCAAACAGTGGCAACACTTTTCCTATTCCATTGCCTTAGACTTGCTTCAGATTTTTATTGTGTTAGTTTGCTTGAGGCTTTTTTACGCCGTTCGCCGCTGCAGAATCACTGCAGTGGAGAAGCTGCTCGACCACGGAGCAGATTTCGAGGCTTGTTCGACCATTGATGCACTGTTTTGGGCAGCACCAATTCTGAACTATGGCGGCTGACAGAAATTCGTTCACTTCGAACACGCGATGTAGGGGTCGTCTCTGTACTGGGAACATGCAGGTTACTGCAGGTTTTGTTTGGTTCTGTTTGTGCGTGTGCAACTTCAGACTCTGAAGTACAGCTGCAGACCTTGAGTGGTTTCAAGAGTTTGTGTTGAGCGTTGTCGAAATAGCTCGACTCGAACCCTTTTCCCGTGCTGAAGCTTTCGTGCGGACCAGTTCGGGCAGCAGGTCGTCAACCACAAGCAGCACAACGTGATGACAACGGCCTCAGACGAGCTGTGCGCCATCTTCCAGGAGGCCAGGGGCGTGGAACGGTCGGCGCGGAGGAAGGGTGGCGATGGGGCCCTAGCAGACATCCGCTGTCCGGACCTCGGAAGGCCAAGTCCGTCCTACACCCTGCGGCCTGTCCCCTGCCCTGGTGGACTCACATGCACCATCCACACAGACTCATTAATACTCATTACGCACGAAGTGATGGAAGCAGAGGTAGGCCCTTTGTCTTCTGACTTGGTCTCCTCCAGCCTTCTGTCGCCCGAACCCGTATTCGACCAGAGAAGACGCGTGAAAGAAAGCAGTCGAAAAAGATGGCCAAAGAAGCCAAAGTACTTGGTACATCAAGATATCCAGTTCAGCAAGAGCTATGCATAGCAGCTATATGCAAGACGTTGTGCTTGCTCTGAGTCTTTGCTGGCACATGCCTGTACTCAGGCGCGGAAAAAGAGGCGCCTGGAAGTGACGGAAGGCCATGTTCGACTTCATTTGTTCGTCCCTTTTCCATGTTTCAATAGCATTCCAATCAGCCGTTTTTTGCAACAGTCTGATGCTTTAAAACGTACCTTTGACAAAGCTGAGTGGTTCTCGCCGTGTTCGAAACCGTCTCGCCGCGTCGCGAGGTGCATCCGAGGTGCCCTCGAGCAAGCGGCCCCGAAGTGCGCTTGAGCGGCTGGAAGCATGGGCCGACGAGTGGCCCATGCAACAGCCGAAGATCGAGACGGCAGACTATAAGCCCAAGGACGGAGTTGAAGGTTTGGATGTGAAACGATCCTGCAACAAGGTGTCTTCAGCAAAGGTTGCATGGCGCCAGCATTTTGTTTGAAGGAGTGTAGCGCAAAAGATGGGGTGACAGTCGCCTGACAAGGACTTGCTGAGATCAGAGGGCAAGTTCGCCGTGGTCAAGGTGAGCCGCGCTAAGAACCTCCCTGTTCATGTTGAGTAGTGGGCTTGTCATATGAATCCTTCGCGTAAGCAAACTCTGATGTGCGTAAGGTTGCGTAAGCGTTTTTTGTGAGATGAAACTTGCGTAAGCCGCGTAAGCAAGTCGAAATTTAACATACATGTCACATGTATTCTTGAAATGTTTGGAAATTCTATGGAGACCTTTGTTGATGAAGCCTTGCATTGGATCTTTTTCTTGGCAATTGGTATGGTCGAAGGTGATTGGCTCCACAGAAAGAAGGGTTCTTGGGGTTCCTGTAGTCATTTATATACAGGACATAGGCATCAGGACAGAGATTTTATGGGTCAACACATGCAAACATTACTCCTATAGCCATACAAACAACTCCCATAGCCATAAAGTCTACCAGCAGTTGTCAGACACACTATGTCACTATGCAGTTATCGGTTTTGGTGTCGGTAATACGCGTAAGGCGCGCGTAAGCTTCGCGTAAGCTGCGCGTAAGCCCCCCTCTCTTTTGTAGACGGTGGCCCACGATGCCTCCTAAAAAGCAGTCTTTTTCTGACTTGCAATGGCGCCAAAGGCAAAGCATTGTCCAGACCATCTACGAAATCCTGGCTGCTCACTGCCCTACAGCCGCGGACGTAACAAACCTGCTGTGTGCTGTGCTTTGCTTGGAAAACAGATGGCGCGTAAGCTGGCGCTGTGGCCGGGTGCAAGATTGTGTTCGCGTAAGTGTTGCGTAAGCCCCTTTGTGTGCAAAGTGTGCGCGTAAGCTGCCATTGTGGTGGCGTAAGCCAGGCGTAAGCTGCTGCGTAAGGAAAGTCTTACGACATAGGCAGATGCCACACGTTTTGAGCACAGCTCAGGTGAATTCGCCCCTTGCCGCAGCCAAGCTGCGGGTTCTGGAGAAGAACTTTGTCGTGGATCATGCCAAGTGGCTTTGGCTGCAAGTTTTTGTGCTTTGCGCGAGGATGTGTGTGTGTGTGTACGCCTGTTTCTAAGGCTTTCACACATTGCAAGTTAATTCAAAACCACTCAAATTCTTTTAAAGGCAGGGGGATCAGGCTTCCAGTGACTAACCTGATCCAACGAAGCTGGGTCACTGGAAGGGAAGTGGTTGAGGACGCTCAACCATGTACCTGCATCGTGCTACAACTCCAATTTTGAACCGATTCTCCGTCTCACCTTGGTTAAACAATACTGTTGAAGCGGACCCATTCACCTTACAGTTGTGCAAGTCAAGGTCTAGTTCCTGCAGCGGGTAACGTAGAGTGGACTCACTGACGTAGCTCTTGCGAGCATCAATCTAAGTGTGTGCGTTCCTTGCCTTTTTTCGTTTGCTTGGCCTGTCTTTCAGGCTTGTTAGGTCGGCGTTTAGGCTCGTTTAGTCAACGCACACCCGGC